AAGATTTTATTTATTTGACAGAGAGAGACACAGCGAAGAGAGGGAACACAAGCAGGGGGAGTGGGAGCGGGAGAAGCAGGCTTCCCACGGAGCAGGGAGCCCGATGGGGGGCTCGATCCCAGGACTCTGAGATCATGACCTGAGCTGAAGGCAGACGCCTAACGACTGAGCCACCCAGGCGCCCTAAATAAATCTTTAAAAAAAAAAAAAAAAGGGAAAAAAGAATATATATGAACAATACCGATCTTCTGATACTTGCCCAGGGAGTGACTTTTTTTTTTTAACTTAGATTTTTATGTTTGTTTATGAAAAGGAGCCGAAACAAGAGTCCCAAAGCATTCTAAATTAAACAATAGTAATGTTCTTTTCTAAGATGACACAGGAATAGTTTTGACTAAATTAGGTTCGCCAGTACTTATGATCCAAACAGTCTAGTTAGTAATTCCTTTTACAATGTGATCTTAAATTGTGTAAGCAAATTAAGCTATTATTTACAGTATCCCTGTTAGATAAATAGGAATATACATTTTGTCACTTAGTCTTTCAATTCTTCATATCTAAGTTAGAAATAATTAGAATAGTAAAAACAAAAACAAATACAACACAAATACATTTTTAACCTTTAAATGAAAGTGATTTTCAAAGTTCAAATAACATATTGCAAGGACATATACAATAATATATATTTGTTACATACATGTATACATTGTAATATACATTTTATGACACTAATAATATCAGTTAACACTTACAAGACACTTACTACATACCAGGCACTCTTGTAAGTGCTTTGTGTATATACTAACTCCTCATTAAATCCTCACAGCAAACCTAGGAGATCAGTTCTCTTTATCACCAGCATTTTATACATGAGGAAACTGAGGCACATAGAGGTTAGCATGTCTTAAGTACCAGACATAGGCTCTGAACCCAAGCAGGGCTCCAGAGTCTCATCAACTACACAGTCCATCCTTACAGTAGAGATAACAAAACTGAGAGGCTGAACTTCCAGTAACCGTGCAGTTAATAACAGTCATGTTACCTAAGGATTCCTCTATTTAAAAAAAATATATGACAGGCAGGAGGAAGTACCAGCAGGTTTAAGTATTTCTGTAAACTTACTGAATTCAGCATGCTGCGGAGCATCCCCAATAATAAAAAAGCAGCTTCTGTGCACACGTTATGGATAGAAGAGACCACAGTTCCACTGGAGGCAGGAACTCCAAAGATAAATGTCCAAATGGAATCTAAATCAAACTACAGAGGTCAAAGTGAATGAAGATTAGCCACTATCAATTTTTTTCAGCTAGAGACCCTCACAAGTTCTAATATTCTGTAACTTCTTTGAGACTAATTAGGGTTTTTTCAAAGTGATCAATGATGGAGAGAGAGAGAGAGACCTAGCATTACTCCCTCCTAAATTTTGAAAATTTGTAAATTTTTACATTTATAAAGAAAAGAGAATACTATGTATCATCCTGTTTTAGGTACTAAAAACATTGTTTTCTACTTTTTTTCTCTATGAAAACAAACAAAAAGAAAATACATGCTAATTAGCCAGGAGATGACGTTAGAGGACTGATGATTTTAAGCAGGATCTTTTAAAAGAGCATGTGGGACTCACTTATTTCCCCTCTCTTGGCAATGTTCTAATTCACTTTTAGGTTACATACAGATAAGATTTGACGAAATAAAAATCAGTTTAAGAGACTTATTCATAGCTGTTTTATATAACATTTTATGACTATGGTGTCATGCTTATTTTGAAAAATTACATAACCAACAAACTCTGTTAAGGCTGAATCTGAATCCTGACTTAATGTAAGGGTACAGACTTTGTTTTCGTTTAAAAGGTTTTGTCAATTACTAGAATTGATTTGAATTAGCATTTGGCATTAGGATGGAAGTATAGCAGTTGGGTTTAAAACTGAATCCCTAAGTCTTCGCAGTGCCACAAACATAAGCTATATATAGATATCCACAACAGTATTCAAATAAAGCCTTAGTGTTTTCCTAAAGTGGATGTCATCTATCATTAAGAAATTAAAAATATTTTTGTAATCAGAACTTGTACTAAGAATCCTATCCAATTAATTCATGGTATACACACCACTCTATTTTCAGTTCTACAGAAATGACATTATACTTCTAGATAAAATCACATAACTCGAATTCTTCAGATTACCATTCAAATATCACCCAGTCTTTATGCATACAGGATCATACAGAGTAAAAAAAAAAAACAAAACACCAAATAGGGAAAAAGGACTTCTTTTTGTGAAAGTTTTCTATAGTATCTTCAGATTTTTCTTCCCAAATCAAATCCTAAACATGAGAAAGGGATGGAATCCCTTTGGTTTTACTGTGAGTAACCCATCACCATACGGTGATTTTTCCGGCACATATAATTACACTTACGCCTTACTAGATAATTCCTACCTGGCAACCCTGCTTACATCGGCTGCTGATGACAGGCACACTGACCTGCAGGTTCTCAGGCAGCTCACTAACTGGCTGCTGCAGAAACAATGCCATGAGGAGAAAATAGAGAGCAGGGACATTAGTGTGTTTAGGAAGGAATGACTGAAGAACTGGGAAACCAGGAAAATGACAAGCATCCCGGTTAATCTCCCTGACCGTCGATCTCCCGCCAGCACTCCTGCCCACATTGAATCCTAAGAGGAGAGGAAATGTAACAGTAAGTACAAAATGAATAATTGATTGTCACGCTGTATTAACAAAGAAAGGAGTAATTCAGTATATGTGACATTTCTCTCCAGAACATCCATATTAATACAGGCAATTAACTAATTCCATTGTTGAATTAATCTTCCAGTTAAAAGTTCTCCTTTACTATCTCTGATTTCAGCAAGCCTGTCTCTTAGAAAACAGATCTTGAAAAATACTGGAGACAATCAGATACGAGAGGTAATATAAATTCTATGCATTAAAAGAATGCCCTCAAACGAGCTCTAACATTTCCCTAAGAAGAAAGTAAAATTCAAAACGTAGCCAAAATTTAGGATGCTACAAAAATGTATCTTAAGAAACGAAAATTGCTGTCATTATATTTAGCGTATAATTATAATTAACCATACTTAGTTAATATATGTCATTTGCCCTGGATCCTGTTAAACTAGTTAACTGTAAATTATCTACAAGTTTTGAGACTAGACAAAATAAATAAGCACAATAATCTTTCCTCACAACATGATCTGTAATTCTGCTGGAAAGCTGCCCGGCGCTGGGACAGCAAATGGGAGCCTGCTGAGACTGGGGCTATCTGAACATGCAGGGCTCTTCAAAGAAACACAGATCAACTAGGAGAGGGTCAGTGCTGACTGATGTGGCTTACACAGCATCAGCCTTTCTATCAATGCCGCTCCCTCTGTTATAGAACTAATCAGGATACAACTCGAACATTCAGTTCTTTTGCTCAGTTCTTTCGCCTTCCCAAACCTAGTGCGGCGCTCGGCACAGAATAAACGTTGGCCAGAGTTTCAATGTGAAACTTGTGTGAATAGCAACCAAGAGATGAAGGATTGATTTTTACTTTGAGGCAATTTTTATTTCAAATGAATATTCATTTTTTTTCCTTCCAATTTGTTTTTTCTAGGATGAAGTGAGCACGTACTTGCTACTATTTATAATAATAAAACAAATTTGTGTCTAGCTAGCTTTTTAATGATTTCATCCTAACCAATTGCTTAGCGTGATGTGAATTAATCTTCTGAAGTATGTTCTAATTAAAAAATCATAGAGCAATTTACCAACCTCTTTCATAGATCATCTCATTTCTCAAACACAATGAATGTGTGAGCTAGAAATTGCTATGATCCTTTTTATAACATGGAAAATAGGCAATTTGTTCAAAGTCACCAAGTTGAAGAGAGGTGGCACTGGGACTTGAGCCTGATGTCTCTATTTCAGAGTCTGTAAAGTTGCACTGTCTCCCTTGGCCTTCCTAATGACATCACCACATTTCTGAGAGTCTGGCTGCATTAGGACACTGGTGATTTTTGCTTATAGTGAATTTTAAGTGAAGTTATCAGTATAAAAAAGTCTTGAGCTTTAACAAGTCAGAGGACATAAAGTGGCATTTTATACATTAAACAGGAAAATAAATTTTGAATAAATTGCAGGTCCTAAATGAAAACCAGTACCAGCATTTATTGTCCTTTCTAAATTCTCACACTCTATTTTTCCCTACAATTAATCTTAAGGAATACTTAGTATGTTACTAACAATTAAGCCTTAATTTAGATTCAAGTAACAGCTACACTGAAGGTATTTTATAAAGAAAAATTTGACAAAAACTAATAAACGTGAATAAAACATTCAAAGACATTAGGTTGCTCATCACATCAAAGAGAAATAGAACCAAATTATATGAGATATATATATGTACGTATGTATACAAATACATGTATGTGTGTTATCACACAGGTATTCAGGGAAATTAAATTGAATCAAATTTAAATTAAACTTAAATTCTTAGATTTCTCTTTCAGAACAAGAGCAGCATATTGCAATTTCTAAGCAGGTATCAATGAAGGACAAATAAATTCTAAGATCAGATGTGGAAAAAGCACCTTTTTCTGATATTACTGAAGTGATACAGGACAGACAGAAGAACAGGATTAACACTCAGAAGACAGTTACGTAAACACTATTACTGTCAGACTCAGAAACCTTACGCATTTAACAGTCTTACTTTCCTAATTAGAGAAACCCTTAATTTTTATTTACTAGGTTTATTGCCTATAAAGTATAACTTATATCCATAAAATATATACCTGTCTCCAGAATCATGAAGCCCAAATGAGATGATACATGTTAAAAAGACTTTGGCAAACCACAATGTGCTGTATGAATCTTAGTAAGGTGTTATCACCACTGTGGTTTTGAACTTCAATGAGAAGCAGTGCAGTCGGTCAGCATTTAGAACTGTCACATTCAGCAGAACTCACATTCACTCCTAGCAGCTATCATTAAGGTCAATAAGTGAAATCCCTTGTTACCAAACTGTTCATAATAATAACATTTGTAGGCTATATCCCTCCCCTAGGGTCAATGCAAAATAGTGATTTTTAAGATCATAAAAGTATATATAATGATAATTTAGAATACGCATTTTAAAGCCAACAATTTTCTTGAGAAATCATTTCACAGTGAATTCCTTTCTTCATTACAAACTTTCTTCAGATATTTTCCAATGTGAAATAACAAGAAAATAATCTTACGTGGTAAAAACTCTGTCTTCCTATCATTTTCTTTGATATTTGAGAACGCAGTGCAGGCAGCACCTAGGTATTGATGCTTTTACATTTTTTTTTTTAACAGATAAATTACATATTCAATTTGGATCCCTAATTGACAAGGGCAAACATATATTCTTGATGCTTATTCCAGAATACAATTACATATGATTTTAAAACGTGATGTTATAAAGACAAATATATTTTTAAAATGCTTGAATTAAAAATACTTTAAGAAGTGAATGACTATAATTTTCAATAAAAACATTATTTTAAATATATATATTTCCAAAATAAGATCATTAATATGAACAGAAATACAGCAGTTCAAATGAATCTAACATAGGAAACTATAATCTTCTAATATTACGTAAATGCTCAGTTCTATGTTGAAAACAGCACAGAACTAGCAAGCAGAGAATAGGGAACTTTGGCTAAAACTCTGAGCTTAAATATTTGAGAAGCAATATAACATAACTTAAAAGCACGGGTTTTGGATCTAATCGACCTGGATTCAATTTTTGACACTTCCTAGCTAACAAGTGACTTCACCCCATGCCTTGGTTTTCTCATCTCTAAAATGGGTATGACAGTTATTTATACCTCATGGGACTATTGTGAAAGTAAGTTATTGTGAAAATGAAAATATTTAGTAACTGGCACAGAATTAGCACTCAAAATACTATTAATTTAGTTTTAATAATTTGCTAATTACCTACTTATAGATCAGAAAGGGAATTATAGAACAAAAAGATCATAAGGAATTCCCTTGAGTTTTCACATCTTTAATATCCTGTGTCTGACTTCAATTTGATTTGTAATTTAAAAAGCCAAATGTGAACCTAAGCTTTTTATTCATTTGTTCATTCATCAAAATTCATGACTCTGGGGCATGTGGGTGGCTCAGTCAGTTAGGCTCAGTCAGTTAAGCGTCTGACTTCAGCTCAGGTCATGATCTTGGGGTCCTGGGATGGGGCCCCAAATTGGGCTCCCTGCTCAGCAGGGAGTCTGCTTCTCCCTCTCCCTTTCACTTGTTCTCTCTCTCTCTCAAAATCTTTTTAAAAAACTCATGATTCTTAATGACTGTCAGATAAACTGAAGAGTATAAGCTTTGATCAGACTTAAATACAAAATACAAGAGTACAAGAGAGCTTATTTTAAAGCAGCTGATGTTAAGTCCCATACCTAATACAGTTCCGATCTTATTAGTTAAGACAGAATCTGTCTGTTCCAGCCACCCTCCACCGCTGAGTCCTTCCTTAAACTTGATGAGGATAGACTGATTACTCAGTAGCACAACAAGAATCCTCATGGCTGCCGTAACTGTGGTGGAATGCAAGTGTTCTTCCATAAACATCATAATCCAGTCAAAACCCAGTGTCCTGACCAGTTCTTCACAAGCTCTATTTAAAGGCAGATGAATTAAGAAGACAAAAACAGAACATTAATTTCAAGGATTAGGACTCAAAATTTAAAAAAGTAAGACTACGTTTTGTTCGGGGTGCCTGAGTGGCTCAACTGTTAAGCATCTGCCTTTAGCTCAAGTCATGATCCCAGGGTCCTGGGATCCTGCTCTGTGGGAAGCCTGCTTCTCCCTCTCCCACTCCTCCTGCTTGTGGTCCCTCTCTCGCGGTCTCTCTGTCAAAGAAATAAATAAAATCTTTAAAAAAAAAAAAAAAGACTAGGGGCGCCTGGGTGGCCAGTTGTTAAGAGTCTGCCTTCGGCTCAGGTCATGATCCCAGGGTCCTGGGATCGAGCCCCACATGGAGCCCCGCGTTGAGCTC